TCAGGATAGGATCATGAGTTTCGAGAAGAGTAGTCAAGATATTCTTCACATCACCAGCACAACTCTGAAAACTGCCCTTTGAGTCTTGAGCAGAGAGATCTCCTTTTCAACCTAGGCCAGTTGTACTTTCTGTAGATCAATAATTGCTTGCTGTTTGATCAAGTCCTCCTTCAATGTACTTTCTGCAGTTAAAGAAGCAAAACGAGAATCCAAAGATTGAAGAAAAGATATGGATTCTGTTTTGAGATCAGTACGAAGGGCTTCAAACTTGGTAGTTTCTTCTTGAAGAGTTTGAGAAAAAGAGTCCACAGAAGCTTGATATTTGGCCGCATTAGTATCAGCATGAGTTTTAAGCGAATCAAAGAAAATCTGAGTTGTATGAACAACCTCAGTAACCTCTTCCGTGGCCTTTGAACACGAAGCAGTGGATTTATCAACTGCAGCTGTAGATTTTTCAAAAAGTTGTCATTTTTAAGATTCTAAATTTAAATATATAATAAATTATAAAAGGCAATTATGAAACTTACTACTTTGGTAATTATAGAAGTTCTTAATCGGAAGTTTCAAAGTGTTTGAAAAAGTAAATCCGTTTCAACTCTTTAAGTGTATCATATAAATTTTATTTTAGTTGATATTGTGATATTATGTATTGACGTTAAGGATGAGCATTTGGACGGTAAATACATTTCAAATTTTGTCTATTGTTATATAATTCTATTATTTTTGTTTAAACAACTAAAATATTTCATATTTGTATCGTTTTTTTTTCTTTTTAAATTTTTTTTTTTATATATATATCAATTATCTGACGTATCATGTTGCAAATAACACCAAAAGTGGATATGTATTATCTTTGGAACATAATATTTTTGTAAGAAAAACATATCGTCTTAATAAATTATTCATCGCCGCTGCTTTGCGCGGGTCCACCACTAATATATATATATATATATATATATATATATATATATATATATATATATATATATATATATATATATATATATACACACCAAGGTTGCAAAAATCGCTCGACGTTAGCTAGTCGGTGGACTGAGGTCAAGGGATTAATCGGCTAGGCGGAGATTAATCGGGTACCATTAATTGCTAATTTGTTGAATTTTAGAAAAAAGAATATGACTAATGTCATATCAAAGTTCGTAAATACCACTAATATGATAACAAAATAGGTTAATATGATTAATACAATACTAATCATGCCTCAAATAGTTTCCATTGAGATAAAATTCCTTCAAAATGTTAAAATTTCATCGTTTTATAATGTTTCACTCATTATGTATGCAAGGATTAATCGCTAGGCGCCCTCTAATCGGCCGAGTAGCGCCTAGGGATTAATCGGAGATTAAACGGGACCTAGTCGGGATTTTTACAACAGTGATATATACACACAAACCAGCAGAGTACGCGCGCGATGCAGCGGCGAAAATTGATTCTTTTGACGAATATTTTTTCGTAGCGATTATTTTTCTTTTGATATGTTGTTTTGGGTATAGTTTTGTTTTGAACATTCACACAACGAATACTTCCTTTTTGATAGAAATTGTGGAAGTAGTGTATAAGTTTATTTTCAATAAATATTTTTAGTTTTGCGATTAGTTTCTCTTTGAGAGTAGTTTCCTTTTAGAAGCTTTGTACAAAAGAAGTTTTCGATTTCATATCGATTCATTTAATAAAAAGATTATTTATGATAATTAATGTTATGAGTATTTTCTTAAATCGTCAATAGACGATCGAAAAAGTTTTTCAATGATTAGTTTACTTCCAAAAACTATTTTTTTTTGCTAGTGAATAGTTTACTTCCTGCTATTAATTTCTCTAACAAACATGTCGCTTACAAAATAACTTAATTTTTACCTATCATTTGTAAATTGTATTTCTAAAACTCTATACATCATCATCTCACCTAATAGGTTAAGACATTCCAAAGATAAAATTATTAAAGTGTAAAAAGCCGTAACCTATACATGTTATTTTATATTCATTCACTCTATTACAAATTTTAAAATAATCAGTTAAAAGTTACAAATTCCTAAATGTCAATTATTTCCTTTTGTCCGGTTGTTTTTCCTTAGAAAATAAAGTAAATTTTATTTTAATTAAAAGTTTGTTACTATTTTGTTTTAAAAATATAAATAGTTACTTTTATTGGTAAATGTAAATTACTTTTTCATTTTAATTCAAAAATATAAGAATTCTATAAAAATAAATGAGTATTGTTGTTTTTAGCATAAAATTAAAATGCTAAAATTTAAGTCAAATTATCAAACAACCATAAACATTTTTATTATATAATTTTTAAACAACCCAACATCTTTTGATTCTTAAATAAAATCTTTTCTACAATCAAGTTATTGTTTCTTACCGTAGAGAAATATTAACACCATATTTTGATATTTCCAACAAAATAGTGGGATATTAAGCAACATATTCTATCATATTTTTCTATAGAACTAAGATTTATCAGCCAATTCAAATGACAAAACAAGGGCTTTAGAATCGAAACCGTCACCATTTCAAATGTTACGAATTAAAAATATGATGAATAAATAAATGAATTTAATAAAAACCAAAAATTATGTAATAGTCAAATATAATAAGAGATATAAAATAATATTTATTTTATTTGATAAAATAAAAAGTAAAGTAACTTTATATCATCATATTAATTTGATTCTTCTAAAATTAAAGAATTATAACTTTACGTTTTTTATATTTTGAAACATTAATCTAAAAAATGTACTATTTTTTCTTATTCGAATATTTTAGAGAGCTAATAAAATAATGATCACATCAAGTTTAATATCCCAATAGCTTTTTTTTTCTAGAGTTCAATAGACTCTATCATTCATTATCATTTCAATGACTTATAGGCTCTCTCACCTGCTCTATTATCATTTCAAATCTTTTTGATATATTAATCTCGAGAAAAAAGAGCTTTGATATGTAAATGTCTACTTCCTAATTTCTATTATTTGCTTACTAAGTTTCCATTTTTAATAGGTTTAGTGTTCTATATGTATAATAATTTGTAGTACAAAATATTTTGAGTTATAAAATGTTTCGTTCGTAATATAAACTGTTTTAATTTTAAAATATATATTTTAGTCATATAGTAATTTAGAACATAATAAAACAAATTTAAAAACACCCGAATAATGCAATATGAATAATTTAAACAAATTTTGTTCACCATGTCATTCTTATTTACAAAGATGCCTGAATAATTTAGAACAAATAACGAAAATTATAGAAATTTACAAAATATCTAAAATAAATAATCAATATGAATATATGATTACATAAAGCAAAAAAAAATACAAAACTAAAAAGGAATCATTTTTATCATTCCAAATATGAATTAACATGCTTATCGAATAAATAAAAACAGAAGTGTGTTATGCTCAGATTATAAGCAAATCCTGGGTGAGAATATTTCTCTGTCGAGAGTAGGTTGAACGAAGACAGTGGCGGTGTCTATTTTGCATCTAAGGTTTGCTAAAAGGAGACGATACTGGAGGTGGAGGTGGCAGAGTTTGTGATGCACCGGTATTGAAGGCATTTCAGTCGACGGCTGAAGTGGTAGCTAGGAGTGGTTGCCGGTGCTATAGGCTATAAGTTGGAGGTGAACTGAACCGGTGTTGCTGCCGATGTCACAGTTGGTAGTCGTACGATTATTTGAGATAAAAGGTTTTAAAGAGCAGCAAGGGTTATTGAATTAAAGTAAATGACGTTCCTCTTTTTATATTGCGTGTAAATTGACATCTCCTTTAAAATTTGTTTCTGATTGGTATATTCACCCCACAAGGATCCAAAGTATATACCATTCGATGAAATAAATGTAAAATTAAAAGTTAAGATTTGAGTTCCTTGTTTTAAGACTTTTGTCTTAAAACTTTTGACATTCCAATTATGAATGTATTACAAAGTAGTATATATATATATATATATATATATATATATATATATATATATATATATATATATATATATATATATATATATATATATATATATATATATATATATATATATATATATATATATATATATATATATAAGAAGACGAATCCTTTTTGTGTAAGATAGTGATAGTTATCAGCCATACTTGATCACATAAGATGTTAGTTTAGTTATGCATTCTGAATATTCCTTAACTAGATTATACTCCTTGTAGGTGGACTGGACGTAAATTGTTTTATACATAAATTAATGCTACAACTTTTAACCTCAGTTGTTAAATTAAAAGATTAGAATTCAAGACATTAGATATAATCTTTCTTTTTTAAAAATGTTGTCTAACGTTTATTTTCTAACAGAGATAGAAGATATATAGGTGTTTTTTAATTTGTCCTTTTTGATAATGTCCATGTTTCGTGGACAAGGTTTGTCACTTCTTTCTTCTTTATTTTTTTCTATAAAATCCGATTTGGTGTGAATGGTGTGTTTAGATGGCTTTGTATGTGATCATTGCATTCTGTAAAAATATGGTTTAATGTTTCTTGGGTTTCTTATTTCTCTTCCATTGATATGCAATTTGGTCCAAAATATTCGATACACTCATGGTTTAAATGTGCTAGGCTGGTTTTCCATGTTTGTTTACTCGATTTTAATCTTATTGTAATATTTAGCTAACAACAACATTGGCATATCATGGGTTGTTGTTAGGATATAATCTGCCACATTTACTAACATATTCTCCTTTTGTGGCTTTTTGATAGAACAACTGGATCAGCTGAGAGCACCTATAAATCTGAAAAAAAAACCAGAGGACATACATTGACACTTCTCAACTAGTTGTCTTTGGAAGGTCTGTTACATAAGCACTAAAATCTGTCCCACTTTACTATCCGAGTTGATCAATTTGCATCAACTCTTTTCATTGATGCTTAAATTATGTTTAGGTAGAGGGAAACTTTCCTGATGGAACAAAGTTAATTACTGTAGATGATCCAGTATCTTGTAAAAATGGAAATCTTGAAATGGCTTTACATGGATCTTTTCTTCCAGGTTAGCAATCTGTACTTTCATCTTTTCAGATCCATTTTACTTATATTGGGTGCCAAATTTGATGGATATTTGTAGTTCCTTCACTTGAAAAGTTTCCAAATCTAGAAAGTTGTAAGATTCCCGAAGAACTAACCTTCAAACGTGGATATATAATGCTTAATTCTGGAAGGGAAGCAGTAGTTCTTAAAGTAACTAACAATGGAGATAGACTAATACAGGCGGCTTCCTACTTTCCTTTTCAGATTTTAATATTTTTCTTTTATATAATTACTTAAATAAATACTATTTTTACAGGTTGGAAGCCATTACCATTTTATCGAGGTCAATCCAAGTTTAATTTTTGATCAAAGAAAAGCATATGGCATGAGACTAAATATACCCACAGGAACAACTACTAGATTTAAGGTAAGATACTTAACCTTAAAGTACTATATTTTATTTAAATTAAAAATAAATATGCACTTAAGTTTACTATACCCATGGATCTTCTTGAACTATTTTAGAGGTAAATTAATGACATAAGTATAACCAACACATACGACCTCTCTAGGTATCTTTCTCTTTCTCCTCCATTTAATTTTTATTTTGTTGGTCTTTTGAATTAGGTCACCCAATCGAAACTAGAGCATCCATCATACGGAGATGATTGGTCAAGAAAGTCGTGATGTGCTGTCAGTAAAACTTAAATAGTTTTGAAACCCAGAAAAGTATTGTTTAGTTGTACATTGTTCTTCTGTGCAGTTTAGGTGTTTGATGAAATGTCTTAATCAGGTTAAAGAGTTGTTTTGCTTTGCTTTGAAGGGGAAAATGTTACTGGATTAAGTTACTCAGAGAGAAGTAAATAATAACAAGCCAAATTAAAATAACAAACAACTTATTGATTGTAATTTTCTTACTGCAGAATTAAAGAGATTGAATTCGATTGTTGGGCTCATGAACAATTTCAAATTGCATCATATATTCAACAACCAAGTTTTGAGGTATAAAGTTATCTGTTAGATGTTCACAACATTCATCACATGTTATAATACTTTCTTATTAGGTAACAGATTTTCTGGGATCTCCATTGAAGTTAGTTCCTGACATTGGTACCTTACAGTTACAAGATAATTTTGTGTCTACATGTCTATATTATACTTTCTTCACTGAAATTGTATAACATTGTAACAGGGATCCTGTATTGGACTATATATACCCTTACCCTGGTTTGTCCCCCATTAATTATACTGGTAATGCCCCTCTTCCATCAGCAACTGGGTGAATTGCTGCTTTTTAGGAAAATGACAAGCATCGCCCTTTTTGCCCACCAAAACTAGATGGATGGTCTGTTATACAAGTGAACACCAAAGGTGCTTTCCCATGGAAACCTGATTGGCACACATCACATATAACAAAGGTCTAATGCTTTTTCCAAATTAATTTCATGATATGAATACTTCATGCTTTTTATGTTCTTATGTAGTTACTCTGTTAATGTTTAAAGGATGTTGTGTTGGGTGATTATGCCTTGATGGAAATGATATATTGGTGTACAGGTAGCTACAGTTATGAGTCTATGACCCTGTTAGTGTATTTCCAGAAATACCCCTCTGTTCCTAAAACTTGTGGTCATTTATTGTCTTCAGGAAATGATGGGATTAACATACTTCATGTTAAATCAATCAAAAAGATTCTGAATATTGCATTTAGTTTGCCTGGTAATTCCTTACAAAAGATATTTTGTTATTTAGTCAATTCTTTTATTTGTTTAAAAATGCACTTTTATTTAGCAAATTGGGACATCACTCATCAGGGACGGGAAATGCCACATGGTGTGGTCTTTGGTGGGTTGTAATGTTAACAACAATTAATTCTCTTTGGTGGGTTGAAATGTGAAGAACAATTATAGGAGAATTTTGTTAAAAAACTTCATGTTTTTGCAGGAATCTCTTCATCCAGCTTTGATGCTTCAACAAGCATCTTATTGTTACCTTTTAGCCAAACCAATTATGTTAAGAAAGTATGGATTTCGTCTCATTCTTTCTGGTGGTGATCTTTACAAGAAAGAAATGTGATCAGGTATTGCAATTTTTGTCAATACTTTGATAGATAATTTTGTGTTACTTTATAAATAATTTTCCTTATCGAATATTAGTATTTAAGTAACAATATAGTTCTCAATTATTATTATCTAACAAATCCTTTTTTTGTGTCTTTTTGATAGAAGAATAACTTAACTTGAGCAGTTGAGAGCACCTACAAATTTTGAAAAAAGCTAAAAAATACTCACCATTATATGTTGCGGATACCAAGGTAAGAAGCCAAACCTTACTTTGCTAATTACTTAACAATACACATGCAAGAGATTGAATCTTAATCAAATGAGGATACTTCCAAGAGGCGATGTGAATTTTTTTGTGGGCCTGTTTATATCATCGCCTCTCCTGTTTCTGAGTTAGGTCAAAACAATGTCTCTTATTATTTTGGTTCTTTAGAAAAACTTTGTCTAAAATTTTCTATTATAAGGTTACAAAGAAGAGGTCCATCTAACAGATGCATAGTTTATATAATTTTTTCTATTTAGAGGTTCACAACATTGATTACATGTTATAATGCATTCCTATTAATTAAGTAACAGATGTTCCCTTTTCCATGACAGTGGTCCTTAGGACCATAGGGTAGGTCAGTATCCGGAAATGTCTGACTGTATGTTTTAATCTGTTGTTGCTTGCTAGTGGTAGGGAGTGGAATAGTCCCCAGTTACCGGTTGAAAGATACCGATGACAGTTACCGGTTGAAAGATATCGATGAAGATTACCGTTTGAAAGATACCGATGATGATTATCGGTTGAAAGATATCAACGATGATTACCGGTTGAAAGATATCGATGATGATTACCGGTTGAAAGATAGCGATGAAAGTTACTGATTGAAAGATACTGACGATATTGTATGGTATGTAGTATGATGGGGGAACTCACTAAGCTTTGTGCTTACAGTTTTGGTTTTGGTTTCAGGTACCTCTTCATCGAATGGGAAGGAGTCGGCGGCGTAGCAGCGCATTACACACACACACACATGGTTTCCGCATTGAGTTTCTGGGATTGTACTCTGATTTTCATTACTTTTGATGTCATGGTTTGGGACACAACATTATGATTTTGTAATGTGTTGTTTTATTAACAATGTTTTGGTAAAATGTTTATTAAATTATTAGTTCAAAAATAAAATTTTTGGGCTTGAATTTTGGGATGTTACATATTCAGTCTAATAGTTTTCAAAGGGGGACATACTTATCGTATGGGCCATGTATGAGGCTTCCTAAAATTCTTGTAGCTACAAGCTCTTCAGGCTTTGTTCGTGCTTTCTTTGTTGGAATGCCTATTGATCAAAGGCTTTTGTTACTGTAAATCCATGATTTTTTTCTTTCTTGGAAAAATGAACCAAATGGAGTATTCTTTATATGAGAACTATATGTGGTTGAAGAGGGTATATATATGGTACATATTTATTATTTTATATACAACTTCATAGTGGTTGAAGAGAGAGTTTAATATGACTGTTAGGCAAAATGATATAAAAGTTGATGGCTTTTGATAATTTGTATAGATTATAAACATAAATATGGTTATGCTTTTTTAACAAAGAAATGGTATTTTGGCAAGTCATCTTATTTGTGTGTTTTTGATGGTTATGATCATATGAGCAGAGATGAAGGGACCTGAGTAGATCTTCTATATATATATATATATATATATATATATATATATATATATATATATATATATATATATATATATATATATATATATATAATATATATATATATATATGGTAACAAAATCTTCATTTTTTGATATGTGTTTCAAATTTTATCTTTTTCTCTTTGAATTTAAACTTGTCTTGATGGGCGGGATGGTTTTGTGGTTTGGGAATTTTACCCAATTATATTATGAATTTTCTTAAAGGCTAAAAGCAATAAATAACAACTTATTTTCATTCATTTGTGTTTTTCAGCATCCTAGTTTCATTTCTTTCTATTACAGTAACTTTTTCTTATAATGACATTATCCTCTGGAAATTTTACCCAATTTTATCTCTTTTCTTATTAGGGCATTATAATTTTAAATGTCTACAATTATAGCATTGTACTTTCATCTTTTTTTTTTCTTTAGGGTATTTTGTTTTAAAAATCCTACCCAATTTAAGCATTTGACTTCCAAATTTTTTTATATCGCAAAATTATACTTTGAATAATCTACCCATTTATAGCATTGTTTTTTTTTGCTTATTAGGACATTAAACTCTAAAAACTTACCTAATTAGCAGTGAAATCGTTTTGTTTTTGTATGGGTAGATTTCTGAAAGTCACCGGCACTGCATTGCTGGTTCTCATGTTAAAACCCCTATTATGGGTTTTCTTTTCTATCTTTTTATTGGGTTTTTTTTTGGTAAAATCAGATTTGGTGTATCTAGTAGGCTTGTTCCAGAAGGAGTTTATGTGGTTTTGTTGATCATTTGATAATGTTTTGTGTGTTTAGATGGTTTTCTTGGTCGTTTGAGAAACATTTTAGATTCTGTCAGCCTTCTTGTGAATAACAAATTGGTCAAATCACCCTCACCTAATGTTTTTTTTTCTTGTTTCTCTGTCATTGATTTTCATTTTACTCATAAAATAACTTTGGTCAAAATCTAGGATTAGTCTGTGTCTGAATGTGTTGGGTTTAACATATTGTATCTTGCTGGCTTTGTATATGAAGTTAAATCATGTGTTGGTTGTGAGATATTATATATCCTCTTACTTTTCTTCCTAATTATCTTCCTACCCATTTGAAAGGATGACAAGTGTCCCTAAAATATAATTAATTTTATCAAAATATGACACCTGTCACCATTTCACATGGTTAGGAAGATATTTAATTTCTCATTGATTTTTTTTAACATTTTCACTCTGATTCTAATCCTATTGTCTTTTTTGGTTAACAATAGGATTGTCGTTGCTGGTTATTTGAGAGGATAACTGGAGCACCATAAATCTGAGATAAAAAGAAGCTAAATGACCATATGCGATGCCAAGGTAAGAAACCATACTTTGATGATTACTTAATATTAATATACTTGCAAAATTTCTAATAGGGTAATAATGAAAAAGTTTTCGGTATTGCCTCATAAGTTTGTATGCTGTAATTGAATGCTATTTAAATGCTAAGGTATAAAACCTTCCATTAAAACATTATACTTTCATAATTAAACCTATTAACACATTGTAATTCTATTAAAGGTACGGTTTTAGTGCCAATGCATTTATTCCTTGGTTTTAACTGTAGGTCACCTTGGCAAAATGTGATTTTTTTTATTACATTTTTTATTTATTAATCATTAAATCCTACTAATTGAAGAATGATGTTTCTTAAGATAACAAATAAATGGCCAAAGGAATCAACTAAAACTCTAAAGAAAGTCACTTTGGTCTATGAGTATAAAAGTTGTACTATTACATCTACTCGATTCTTAAATATTTTTTTGATGATTTTACTTTGAAATGGAAATTTTAATTGAGAATTGAGATAATTGATGGTTGGAATCTTCACTGTTTTCCAATAAACAATTAATCTTCTGAAGGTAAATAGACAATTATGGCTTCAAGTTTTCAATCTGGGCATAAAAATCCTCACTTAACCTTGCAAAAAGTAAAGATGACATTCTAAAAGTGGTAAGTATGTTTCTGTTTTTCCAAATTGCCCTTTTTAATGTAAAAAACTGTCTTTATTCTCTTTTGCTACCCTAAAACGCCACAATATCAACATCTTCAACAGTTAGTTCAAAAATAAGAATTGTAGCAACGAAATTATGTTTGATAAGTATGAAGATGATGACAAATTTCTACGGGTTTCTTGTAATCAGGCATTAAAAAGATTGGTTTTTGTTAAAAAGTAATGCTTACTTTGTTGATTACTTAATAATATACATGCAAAATGTCTGTCTGATAGGCTAAGCTTTCTTCACTTTTGTTTTATACTTTCAACAGTTTCTTCCTATTAAGATATTCTACTTGACTTTAAGCATTATACCTTTAGTTATAGCATTACTTTTTCAACAAATAACCTATTAAGAATATCTACTTTTTATCTTCTTCCTTTTTTTCTTTTAAAGAGCAGATGAAAGTTATTGTATTTTGATGATCTAACCATCTATAACATTACACTTTTAAATATAACATTATACTTTTGAAATCCAACATTTTACTTTCATTTGTTTTTTTAAGACTTTGTCCTTTTAATACATTGTATTCTGAAAATCCAGCCAACTTTAGCACTATACATTCTTCCAAGTCATTGTATTTTGAAACAGGAAACTTGTTTTTACCAATTATAGCATTATTTATCCATTTATTTCCCATGGATTTCTATTTTTTTTTCTTCAGTTTTAAGACTCTTACTCTCAAAATTTAACCAATTATGGCATTATGGTCTCATGTATATCATTATCATTACTTTCAAAATCTTTTTTTTATTAAGATATTGTACTTTTAAAATTTTACCCTTTCCGATTTTTGTTACTATTTATTGCATTATACATTTTTCTTATTAGGACATTCAAATTTTTATTATTATATTTCTTTCTATTAAGACTATAAATATTCCTACAAAATTCTAACGTTATACCTTGATTTTGTAGCGTCCTTTTTCTAATATATAAACTATATATGCATTATAACATTATACCTTCACTTTATAGCTTTTTTTATATATATATATAAACTATATATGCATTGAACTTTGAAAAATTAAACTTCATTTGTTTTGTTTTCAGTTGTTATCTTATATTTTTAGTTATAGATTTTTACTCTCATAATCTAAATCTATTAAAACATTATATTGGAAGTATGAATAGTTGTACCGACTACATAAGAACATGTATCAGGTATTTGATACATTGTACTTTTATCTTTTGTTATTAAGACATTGTACTTTCAAAATCTAACCTATTAGAATCTATTAGAATATGCTTTTAATATTTAACTGTATGGGACATTATATTTTAAATTATATA